CATTGCAGAACCACGAAACGAAGCGAGAAAGACAGAGAGAAAATGGTGATTCGAAAATAATTCAATTCCTCTGCTTATGTAATCACATTATAAATGCTTGCTGCCATTTTTCATGTGTGTATGTGTGTGTGTGTGTGTGTGTTTATATGCACTTTCTCTCTCTAAAACAGAGGAAAGGTATCGTGATTCGTGAGTGTGGGGGAGAGGTTAAACAGAGGCACGAACTGCCAGGAAAGCTTTCTGATGACGACAAACATTTTCTGCTCTTTTTATTGATAACAAAAAATAAAATAAAATTAATTTCCCATTTTTTTTTCTCTTTTTAATTAATTTCATTTTTGGGCCTTTATGATCGGGATGCTGTCTAGTGACCGTTTCTGTATTTTTTTATTTCTTTTTATTTTTTATTTTTTAATAATTAATGTGATTATGTGAAATTCAATAAAATGATAGCTCCCATTAATTAATAAATAAAATAGTAATAAATAACAAATGGGGGAAATTGATTTCCCCCGGCAAAATTGCGTTTTTAGTTCTTCTAGTGTAGCGCGTCATAGCATTTTTTGTTCCAAGATTTTAAATTTTTCTTTTTTTATCATGTAATTTAGTATTGTGATGCAATTTCAGTCTTTTGGGGGATTGAAATTGCAATAAAATTTAAAGAGTAAAATGTTATTCTAGTCTTGTATGTTTCACTGCACCTAACATTTTCTTCCTCTTAGTATTCCGTTTTTTATTTTCGACTTGTATGTTTGCAAAAAGGTCTCGGATGTTTGCAAAAAGGTTCTTTTCGCAATAGAAATGTCTTTTATGTTTTGCAATAAAAGGTTCTAATTTCGTTTCTTATGTATGAAAATGACTTTTTTGTAACTTTTTTTTGCAAACATACGTGATGAAAATAAAAAATTGCAATTCAAAGAAGACGAAAAAATTAGGATATTGAAACGTACAAGACAAAAAAATACAATTTAGTCTAATTTAAAACTACATCACTTAATTTGTTAATCAAAAACTTCATCCCAAAGATTTTTATTAGAAATTTAAGTCTTGTGATTTATAATTTTGTTGCAATTTTAGTCATAAGAAGACCGGAATTGCATTGAATTTTAAATCAGATGTCTAAATAGCAAAATCTTCAGATCTTGTGACTAAAAACGCTACTCGATCAAATTAACATGATTAAAATTATAATTATGCCTATTTTATAATAATTAATTTGACTGGATATTTTTTGATTGAATTATAACTAACCGGTTTCAGATTTTACACGGACTAGTGCTAGATTTGAATTGACCACGAGTTTTAATAAGAATCTTTTTTATTTTATAATTGCAGAATATTTTATATTGCTATTGAATTTGTTTGAAGATGTTCCTTAAAAAGCGAATTTCAAAGTAATGACATTTTACTTTTAAGATTATTTTATTGACTTTGATAGAATTTTTATTTATTTATTTATTTACAGCATAATTACATTAATTAATTAATTCATTCATTTATTTATTTATTTATTTATTTACGAATTGTGGGTGAGTTATTTTGTCACTAAAGCCTAATTCTGAATTTTGCTTTCTGATTAATTCCTTTTCAAGTTAGGTTTCACTCCACCCAATAAATAAATAGAAAAATAGTGAGGCTGCTTAGATAGATCTAATGTTTATATAATTTTTTTTTTTCTCTAAATACATATTTTTGAATTAAAATATCTAATTCTAAAACACAATATAAAAAAAATAACATTTTATAATATAAGATTTTTGTTGTATAAGTATGGCGGGTCGATCCGCCTAAAAATTAGGCTGCCACATACATTAATTTTTTATATAAAAAAAAGTGTAATTCTCATTCTCAATTTCTAAGTTAGTTATAAAAAACAATGAGTTTCCTTCACAATAATATACATTTTGAAACATGGGTAACTTTCGACGAAGTGCGCTTAACAGTGTTAGAACACAAATAATCTGTAACTATTAATTTGCGTTGCAACACTAAAAAACGTTGAAATAGTCCCACTCTCATAAGAGATCTTACAATGATAAACCAATTGTGCACAAGTGTATAGTTTAGGTTTACAAAAATTAGAACTTTCTTCTAGCCTAGCCACAACTACATTCAATTCTACCAACTACTTTTTTGGTCACGTCCCCGTGGACTTCAACCTCTCGAATCCTTCGAGCAAAACAATATTTAATCTCTAAGTACTAATCACTAAAAGTGTTTGAACGAAAACAAAATAATCAAAATGAAAGGCTTCAATTCTTCGATACCATAAGAACACCAAAAACTGAATAGCGAGCTAAAAAAAAAAAAGAAAATTTGAAGCTCGAATATAGTATAAATGATAGTAAGGTCAGCAGTCTTTTTCGATCTTCAAGCAAGCAACCTTCATCTTTATTCGACTTCCTTGCAAGTATATAAGATGAGATGTGGTAAATATGGATCTCTTTCTTTTGTCTCTAAAGATCTCCTCTCCATGCAATCGTCTATCCGCAACAATGCGTATCTTAAATCCTACAAAAGATAATCATAACGAATCATGCAAATCTCTCCGAATTTATCAACTATATAAATATTCGAAATATATAAAATTATGAATACAAACAAAAGAACTTCACTTTTATTTCTTGTGCTTGCAATAACATATCTTCAATATATTATTTTTGAACTTGTCGCCAAAAATAAATCTTTCACATTTTTTCATTTATTAAAAGGTATAAACAATAAAACACATATAATTTGTCTAAATGTAAGAGATATTCTCATATTCATCATGGTATTCTGCATAAAAAGAAATGAATTTGTGGTTTGACCCGTGTGTTCTAAATTGGTTCTATTAATCAACATTCTTGACCAATTCTTCATCAGTTCTGTGGTAATTGATTCATTATAATGAATCAAACCTGTCATGATTTTTTCTATAACCATGCTTAAGAATCAATGTTGTTCATATCACAAAAATCAATAGTGCTATAAGAATTTACATTGACTTTTGTGGAAGGGAACATTTTCTTTCAACGGGTTAGCATATAAAATTTGGTCATAACGAAAATTGTGTAGATATATAAAAACGTATTTTAAATATGAAATTTAGTAGGTTTTAATAAACAAAAAGTATTCAACTAATAAATACATACCAACTTCTCATTGGTCGTCGTTACAGTATTTGATCACATAGCTATGTTAGGTAAAACTAGCTTATAATTTATCGTCATTTTCAAGCTTATAGCTTATGGGTGATAGCTGAAAAACTAGCTTATATGATAAAAATGTTTGGTAAAATTAGCTGATACGCTAGCTGAAATAAACATTTCAAGAGCTTATTTGAAAAGTTGTCCTAGGGTAGACAAATAAGCTAGTTTGTAGCTTAGTTGGTTAGCTTATAAAGTTGGGATCTTCTACAGTCAGGTCATGGTTGTACCTATCTAACATCAGGTAACCCCCCTTTTCACCGTTGGATTGACTAAGATATGACAATGAACGATGGATTGAAGGGTACAAGGGAAAAAAGAATTTTGGTAGTCTTGTACTCTCTCTCGTACCCCTCGTACTTGTAAATTCCTATTATACCCTTCGTACCCCTTGTACCTATTTTATTTATTCTCAAGCCCCCATATACTTTTGTAAATTACATAACAATCCTACAAATGTAAAACAATTTCATCACAACCTAAAATTATATTTTAAGATTCCAATCCGTCGTCTTCATTTGGGAAAAGAAAATGGACAAAACCAATCTTCCACTTCATCTTCTTCCTCA